GAAGGAGTCAGTAGAACCCAGCATAGAAACAACACTGCCTTCCAATCCTCAGGGCTGTAAACCTTGCTGAAGCATCTGTCAGATGTTGGGTTCTGGAATACTGTGCTGTGCAGACACCTGTGGGTGAAAACCTGTAAACCATTACCTCCAAAGATTAATAATTGCTGTTTATTAAGCCTGCACCATATAGGATGATGGTTAAGAGTCATCAAGAAGCCCACAGATTGGGTTATACTGCCCTTTCTGCAATTTAAAAGTTGTGTAACTTTGAGCAAGTTAATCTTTCAGTGCCTTCATCTGTAAAATGGAGTAATTAAAGTATCTATGGCAATCACAAGGCTATGGTGAGTTGAAGTGATGTAATTCATGAAGGTATAGTACCTGTAAATGAGGACTGTATAAACAAAGGCTATTCAATGTAAGTGAATGAATCTGCCTGACGACCTTCCTAAAAGGGAATCTATTATTTTCCCGCTCCCTGTTGTTCCTCCTCTCCTGTGAAATCCAGGAGAGGGTTTAACCCCTTCGGCTCCTCCAGGAAGGTCGACATATTCCTGTTCTTCAATCTGGCTTCCAGATATTAACAAAGTTTCACATGTCATCAACATTTAAAAAGTATTTCCCAAAGTGTACATTTCTTGAGTACCTGCACTCTGCTGGAAACTGAAGGGAATTCTGATCACCCAGTCTCACGGTAGCTTTTGTATTGAAACCTGGTATTTCCTAATCAGGACAGGTATTAAAAATCCCAGGATAACAGTCCCTAATAATCCAAACCTTTCACTTAGGAGCTGAATTACTTTACGTTGGGTCAGACAGGCAATAGAACAGATGAGAAGGAAATTATCATGGAATTCTATTGGTTTTTACTTCATAAGAAATTTAATCCACTTTTTCTTTTTTTTTTTTTTTTGGTACTTCATAAGAAATTAAATCCAGCACATTTTCTGAAAGTTTCTTTCCCTCTCTTTTCTTCTTCTGTGAGGTAAGAATGCTTTAGAAGCTATATTTCAAATTCTTTGGGGAAAAAAAAAAATCCCAATCCTGAGATTGAGAGCGCCACACTAAGTTGACTAGTAAATCATAGCCAGACTATTCAACTATTTCCGTTCTGTAAAAGAGTTTTCATTAAGAGTGCAAACCTGCGGGAGAAAACAAACGATCTCGACGAGGATGGGATTCGAACCCACGCGTGCAGAGCACAATGGATTAGCAGTCCATCGCCTTAACCACTCGGCCACCTCGTCCCAGAAACCTACCTCTTCCTGGTAGGTATAGGGAGTGATACTAGGAGGATGTGACGCAACGTTATGGAAGTCGCCATTTTGTACGGAAGCCAACGTCGCTCACTTCTATAACGGACAATCGAAAGAAGATGGCCGCTTTCATGATGTTGGAAAGCCTTCGCTGGGAAGGGGACATCATTTTCAGTAGAAAATGAGATGCATTTTAAGAAGTTAAATTGGCACAGAGGTTGGCAAAGAAGTTTAATTGAAAGCATGTTAGGAGCGGCGTTGTTCCGAAATCTGAGGGGCGGAGTCGACACGTAGAGCGGCTTTGCGCGTGCGCATCAGCTAGGCGGTTAGATTTGAATACTTCTCTGAGTTTGGCTGGGCGTTGTGAGGTGACGTTTTTGCTGAAGAGCGCGCGGACCCCAAACAAGTTAAGCTGGTGGGCTGTGGCAGGTAAGGAGAATGACCCTCTCTCATTCTGAGCTCCTGAGAGGATGTAGGTTTTGTCTGAGCACTTTGGAGGTCCGGCATGGGAGGTGGAGGATGCTGGGTCCCACGGCCTCCGAATGCGGCGGGCGCTGGGCTCTTTTCTCACCCGGGCCTGCACTTTGTTCCTCCTCTCCTCCCTAGAGCTTTGGCACCCACACCTGTGCTCTCGGACCGCCTGGGATCGCTCGTCGAGCTCGCGGCGTCCTGGCCCGCCAACACCTTTCATTTTTCTTTTTGGTTGTTTGTATTTCTGACTTAGGCCTTTCTTTGCTATAACAATGAATGATATTTAAGTTTTCGGCTCTCATTGGTTAGCTAGCAGCACAGAACCGGTTTTCGGTTTTCTGCAGATACTGTTAACAAAGTCAATTTAAGCATCCCCCATTTTTTTTTTCTTTTTTTAAATCTTCTTCTGACCGGCTCAGGGTCAAAGCTTCTTTTTCTTGCTGTTTATTTAAATATTAGAGTTTGGGAAGAAAAATGCTGCTGTTTGGAATTTTAAAGATGGGTTTATTAGGCGTTAACAGAGATAAAGGGTGGTGCGGATGAAGACCAAAGCACAAGGTAACTCGGATATGAAGACCGAAGTAACTTTTCAAATCAGTTGAATTGGATTAACTGAATTCCTCATATTTATTGGGTTCCTTGTCTTATGCTAGGGCTGGGAGTCCCTAAGTCCCAGAAAGGGAAATAATTAATACATACAAAATAACTGTGATACAAGACAGAATGTAAGGAATTATAAGACATTCCAAAGAAGTATGATAAACAGAAAGGAGAATCCCTAAGTCCTAGAAAGGGAAATAATTAGTACATACAAAATAACTGATACAAGACAGAATGTAAGAAATTATAAGACATTCCAAAGAGGTATGATAAACAGAAAGGAGGACTGATTTGATGCTTTTGACAATGGAGAATTAAAGTGGATTTCATGGAGAAAATGGCATTTGAAGTGGAACTTGGAGGAATGATTTACAGAGATGGAGAATTAATATTGTAAGATTTTGAAAATTAAAGGTTAGGTTCAAAGCAATACAATTTTTGACCCTTTAAATGACTGGAAATGTTCATAGGGTAACAGATACATGTAAATTGAGTAAAAATGGAATGATAGTCTTTAATGATGTGTTGAATACTAATAAACTTGAAGATACTCTAGATATTGATAGTAGGATGGTGCTCTCCAGTAGAACTTTCACAGTGGTAATACTTTATATCTGTGCTGTCCAACACAGTATCCATTAACTTCTGTGGCTATTGAACACTTGAAATGTGGCTGTTGTGATCAAAGACCTGAATTTTATTTTAATTAATGTAAATGTAAAGAACTCCTATATTGGACAGCACTGATCTATAACACTGGACACTGGAAAATATTTACTGTAGGTATTGGTGGTGTAAATTCAGGAGTAGACAGAGAGCCAGATAGTAAATATTTCAGGCTTTGCGGGCTACATAGTCACTGGCATGGTCTCTGTTACATTCTTTGTTTTGTTGTTATCTTCTTTTTCTATACCTCATTAAAAAATTAGCTTTGTTTTCTATGCCTCATTAAAAATGTGAAAACTGCTTTTAGCTCAAGGGCTGATTTGGTCTAGTGGCAATGGTTTACAGTCCCCTGGATTATTTCTACTACAGGTTAGGAAGCTTTCTTCATTCAGATGATATCCTTAGGCAATCAAACAAACACAAAAACCTGGTAATTTTATTTCAGTAGTTAAATACAAACAGCTTAATGAGTATATATGTTCTAACAATTCATAGCCATTTGAAAAAATACGCATAAATTGAAGGAAAAGAACATATTTACTTTTTTTCTTAAATAATCATGGTTACTAGGGCTGGGGCTGGGGATGGGCCTGGGGCTCAGCAGTAGAGCGCTTACCTCACATGTGTGAGGCATTGGGTTCAATCCTCAGCACCGCATACAAATAAATAAATGAAATAAAGGTATTGTGTCCATTTACAACTAAACAAAATATTAAAAATTATATATGTGTACCTCTTAGATACTGTACAAAATCTCAAACCTTGGAATCGGATTGTACATAGCCACTCATTTCCTGAGCCACTTTGATATAAACAAACAAACAAACAAAAAAAAAACCCTTGATTTTATTTATATCAATTGCCAAAAATCTAGCTTCACAGTGATATATTATTAAATATGAATGGGTACTATTTTGAGCTAATGATTCACATGGTGCCTGTCAGATGTTGAAAATGGGGTGTTTCAAATTAAAAATAAACAAATACCTCTGTGCGTATGCTGCCAGCACCCTGGATGCCAGGTGCACAGTTTTGGGGCTAATCAGTAAAAAATTACTACGTAATTAATAGTTCAGCTGGACTGTGTTTTATAAGTGAGACTTAATATGATACTCTGGGGTCTCCTATTTCTGTTGAGGGTAAAACTTAAACAGTTAAATATTAAGAAGATGGGATGTCAGTAAACTTTGAATCTCATCAGATAATCAAGTACTAACCAATCTCTAGGTTCAACAGGAGTTGTGCTCAATGACTATTTCAAACAGTCATTTTGATGTTTAGGTGACCTTGAGCTAATAAGTGTTTAGTATTTTTATCTGGAGTTTGAATATGTATACTGAGTTTGAAAATATTCCCAAAGAAGATAAAAATATGCTGGTTGGTAATCATAAAGTCAATTTTATTTTTAATTGTGGTTTTGGGAATTAAACCATGCTCTACTGCTGAGCTAATTACCCAGCCCCAAGTAATTGTTTCTTCATTACTCATTCAGCAAGTATTTATTGAGCTCCTTCTATTTACAAAGCACTGCTAGCTGTAATAGTGAACATAAGATTCATCAGCTCTATTCTCATAATTTACTGTTGGAGCAAGGGTAGTTTGTGGAGCTAACAGAAATAACAGACATTTTTTTTTATGTATTTATTTATGTATGGATGTATTTGTGGTACTAGGAGTTGAACTTAGGGCCTCAAGCGTGGAAGGCAGATACTACCACTGAGCTACATCCACAGCCCTATAAAGCATACTTTTAATTTATGAAAGAGACACTCAAAAGGAGGTATACATAATGCTACCAAGAGGATAAACACAACACCTTTATTTATTTTTCTGTGGTGCTGAGGATTGAACCCAGTGCCTCACATGTGCTAGGCAAGTGCTCTGACACTGAGCTATAACCCTGGCCTTTTCTTGTCTTTCTTACCAAGAGAGAATAGCAAATATAAACACATAGATTTAGGGAAGAGTTCTGTGTGTTTAGGGATTGAAAGAAA